AGGCGGCGCGGCGGCCGCTGGCTTGGCAGGCAGGAGGAGGCAGCTGCCGGGTGGGAGCTGAACAAGCGAGCATTCAGGTGACGCGGCAGCAGCTGCTTTTCCGTGTGGATCTCTGCAGCCCGCTCCTGCGGGAAGGGAGGCAGGTCCTGCTCTGAGTCAGACTCGCCACAACCCACATCAGTCAGAGGCCTGGGGTTTTTTTGGGTTTTTGGTTTAGGGTTGGTTTTTTTTTTCATGGGTATTTGGGGATATTCCTGCTCTTGTTTTTCTTCTCTCTTCACGTATGTAGTGGTCAGAAAGATGCGGTGGGATTCTGGGATTAATCGCTTGCCTTTTTTCTGCCTGTGTGTCTTGCATTTCCCAGGCTGACGCTTGGCTTTTTCTGGATAGCGCTGGCCTCTTGCAACGTTATTGACCCTGAAGCTCCTGGGCATAGCGTTGCTACTCTCCATCCCTTAGCTGTGGCGCACGTTTAGACTGCTGCCTGCTGTCACCACTGTGGAGGGTCGAAGTGGAGTTTATGTGGAGCTTGCAGGCTGGAGTACCCATTTTTTGTGGTGATTAAACTTCTGCTTTTAATGCCTTGGCATCCCTGCATGGGAAAGCCTGTAGTTCTCTGAGATAGGCTTCTCTTCCTGCTTTTTTTTCCCTCCATCCTTTCGGTATTTCTGTCCTTCTCCAGACCTGTGAGGTTTTTTTCTTTCCATTCTAGTTTTTCTGCATGCAGCAGTTTCTTACTTCCCTTTGCACTCACCAGACCTCATTGCTGCTGCTTTCCATCTTCGCAATTTTTTTAGTAAGTGATTAAGTAGATAATGATGATACTTCTGTATTGGAATTGGGCTTTTCACGTGCTACTCCAGTTAGGTTAGTTGGGAACAGGAGAATTAAACATTCCTTACTTCATGCTGTCTGCAGAGTTGGAAAGACAGCCTCGCATCCGTAGGCTCAGCCTACGACTAGGCGCCTTCCTTCAGGATTGCAAAGCCTAAAAAACTTACTGGATTTTTGCTGAACAATCTGCACATTGTGTGTCCCGTAAATTCCCTGACATCTGCTTGGCAAGCCGCAGTATGCATCTTTTTCTAGAAAGTGGCTCGAAAGAACTGAGGGATTTCTGTTTTCATCTTTAATCTAGAAAGCCTTCTGCAAGTTGCTTTCACAGATCTATTTAAAGGAAGACAAAAGTGTGAAGCTGCCCACCAAAAGGATTCTAGATTTTATTTTCTTCTTTACCGACTGGCTCTGGATCGAGTCTCTTTAAATAAAGGTCTCTCTCCTCTGAGCAGCTGCCTTATTTGCTCCTGCCATCTCTTCTGTTCTGAAAGTAGCATCACTTCAGAGACTTCTCGGAGCAAAGGAGCCTCTTTCAAGTGCTCAGGTTTTTTTCCGCACCTTCTCTCAGTGGTGTGGTATTGTTTGGCTGAAGTGTCCCTTCCTTTCCAGCAGCCTTTAATTTTTCTGCAGAGAGGTTGGTTCTGAGGTCACCTCAATTCTCTTCCCAAGGGAAATTCAGACTATAAAAAGTCAACTTTCCTGTCCTTGTTTTGTTGTAAACTTGCTTGCACTCTGGAAAAAAAAAAGTGACCATGCTTTTTGCATGTGGCCCAGATTGTGGGTTCCATCTTGTTAGACCTAACCCCTGGAGAAAACTCGGCCCTGCCAGTATCCTGCCACGGGCGGCAGAGCACTGGCCTTAGTTCCCCGATATCCCAGGGCTTTTTGGTCTCTCGGAAAGACTCGCTTCTGGATGGAGTCCTCGGGAAAACACAGCCGATTGCTTTCCTGCAAAATCCCTGCGCTTTTTGATAGAGAGTTTGCACAGGGCTTCTGTAGGGACGGCTCCTTGAGTAGCCTTTCTTCTCTTGGCTTGTGTTTTAAGTAAAAATGCTGCCAAGGAGATGTCCCCCATCTTACGGCCGTCTTAGGGCTAAGCTCAGCGTTCCCCCCATGCTGTCCCATTAAGACCTCGTCCACTGCTTTCTTGCTTCTCTTGCTTCCCCCTCCTCCCCCGCCATCCGTGTATCTGCCCTGCGACCACACCTAGCCAAAGGCGGACAAGCCCGGCCGGGCCCAGGCTGCCGGAGGAGTTGGTTCCCCTTCAGATAAAGCAGTTCCAGGTAAGGAGGCGAGTTTTTCCCCCCGCGAGGCGGTGCAGCGGCGTCTTTCCGCTCTGCCTGTGGCGGCTGGGCTGCGGCAGCGCCAAGCTGGCACGGCACGGCATGGCACGGCACCGTACGGCCTTCGCGGAGCCCCAGCACCCGGCGCGGGGCGTTTCATTTAGCGATTTTTATCAGAGCGTTATAACTGTTAGCGTAACGTTAACTGGCAAGATGCTATTTACAATTTGAATGTGGAACGCTTAAAATATTAATGATTTGAAAATGCAATTGGTAGATCTCTTAAGCAGTCGAGGAGCTTGTGTTAAGTGCTAGCAATGTGTTTTCCTTTTAACACACCATGCAACGTGTAATGCCTTTCCTTCCCATTTAGGCTTGCCCGTATTCCCAGTGTCTCCGCACATGAAGAGCCTTTCATCCACCAATGCAAACAGCAAAAGGCAGGCTCAGCCAAGCTGTACTCCAGCCTCGAGGTTGGCTGCCAAACAGCAGAAAATTAAAGAAAGCCGGAAGACAGATGGGCTGTACACAGACGAAGAGGAGGATTTCCAACATGCATCTCTGCTGCAGAAATACAGCGAGTGTGAGAAGCCATCAGGGAAACGTCAGTGTAAAACAAAACACTTGGCACTGCAGGAGAGGAGAAGGAGGTCATCTCTGACAGGGGATGACACCACAGATATCGAAAATGCTGAAGATAAGGTATCTTTATTTAGACTTAATTGTCCACCAGCCTCTCAGAAGGCAGAGCCAGCCTGCTTAAAACTAATGTGCTGTCATGCATGCAGGGTAGCGGGGATTGCATTCAAATTCATCTGTGGATGCTTTGCACATTTTCTATTTGCTTTTCTCAACCCGAGTTAAGGGCGCTATCGCAAGGGGTGAGGAATCTTGCATTTAAAAGCTGGAGCAGGTCTTTCTTAAAATATTAAATATGAGTAGAAAAGTGTAATTCTTTGCTGACAAGATACAGTCCCACCGCTGTGTTGTAAAAACGAGGATAAAAAACCCGCCACAATCATGGTTTTGACAGGTCGCGATAACGAGGAAAGTCAGGAAGCGACCAGAGCCTACTTCAGACTGCGACTCCTCGCCAGCCAAGTCGTACGAGCAGAAGCTGTACGATCGCCTGCAGCAGACTCCCTCTTTGCTACCTGTCTCGCAGCCCTCGCAGCTGCCGATCGCAAGCCCCCCTCAGGAGACCACCCCGAGCCGGCCCATGCCGCCCGAGGCGCGGAGGCTTATTGTCAACAAGAACGCGGGGGAAACGCTGCTGCAGCGGGCGGCACGCCTGGGGTACGAGGTAAGGGTCCCTCACCGCCCTGCGGGACGATGGTTTTTTATTTCAAAAGTTAAAACCTTCTTTCCAGTTTTATAGACGGAAATTTTGCGAAGCAGCAGCTTTGAGTTTGGTCGTTGAAATTTGCAGGCCCCCTCTCCCCTGCCGCATTCCCTTCCCCGGCGTGCCGGGTCTAGGGGCAGGTCGCCGTGGGAATGGGTCCCCACTGCGGTTGGGTCAGCTGGTGGGGACGCAGGGTAAGCAGCATCCTGCGTGAATGAGCAAAGGGTAAAGTTTTACTGGTAACACTCGCTTCCATTTAAATGTAAGCCTTCTGCAAACAGAATGAATGAATGGGTTTTTTTTAAAGTGATCTTTATGGTGATCTTTAATGAGCTGTACGATTTTTGCTTTTGTTATGTGTAAAGAGCATGTAGTTTAGGAGAAGGGTTTTATTTTTTGTTCTTTTCTCCAAGGAGCATCTGGTATCTGACACGGGATGTCGCGCTTGGAGTGTTCTCTTGCATGATCAGATGCATAGTAGGAGCACCCTGCATGCTTTACGCTCGGAATCTGGAGCTGCTCGGCATAGCTGGAACAATGTTGTCTAATGAAACGGCCCCTCTCTTGCTAAAAAATCAGAAACTGATGAGTCCCCTAGCGCCGCTGTTTTGAAGCATGCTTTTATTGGGGAAATACGGGCACATAGGTATGAGCGTCATTGCTGCTCAACTTCAGATCTTGCAAAGAGGTGTTTCATCGCATAGAGCGATTGCTGCAGATCAGTGCAGCTGCAGGGTTCACCTTGGTGGCGAGAGGACCGCTTGGACCTCAGAGCTGGGCTTGAGCCCTGCACTGGAAGGTGGCATCAGCCCGGGCCCAGGTGGGGCCTGCCCAGCCTCAGGGGTTTGTAGAAACCTCCAAATGCCCTTTGTACAGCTGGAGAGCTTCGTGTGGAGAGAGGCCTTCTCCAGTTCTGGAAAGGCAGGGTTTGTTGGAAAGGTTTTGTTTACCCTAGACAAAGGTTTCTTCTAACCCAGGGCACTTCAGCTCTAGCTGGGAGGAGAAGTGGTTGTTACAACGTTGCTATGGTAATCTCCATAATTTCAATGATTTAATTTCCTACGGACCTAAAATTTCCTATGGATCCAAAAATCAAAATGTGTTGTAGCATGTGCTCCAAGCTATTGGGGTGTATTTTCTTCCTGCACGGTGTCTGTCAGGGCGAATACCGCTCACGAGTAGCAGGCTGCCGTGGGATGCTTGTGCACTTTGCTTTTTGTGCCTGTCGTGCTCTCAGTGGGGGCAGCTCTGAAACTTAGTGATGGGCTGAGGTCTTGCTCAAGCAGGGGCCGAGGGCTCTCCATGTGCTTTGCTGATAGCAGGAGCTGTCTGCAGCATTGGCCGTTACTGGGCTGGTTGCAGAAAGCTGGGGATGCCTGGGCTCACCAAGGTCGGCGTCCTGGGGCCCTGGGGTAACCTAGTGTTCCCATTATCAGCTGGTCGGGGATTTTCTGACTTGAATTCACCCAGAAGTTCAAGCAAACACCACGTTTTTAATAGGCTTAAATATTCCAGTTGTTTGCCTTGATCGTTTGGTCAGCATTGACAGCGCGGCAGTGGGTCCTCTTGTTGGCGGAGCGCGGGGCTGGAGAGCCAGGCGGGGCAGGGGGGAGAGCCCGGTCTGTGTGCCCGAGCTGCTGCCAGGATCCGGCATCGGCCATGTCTTTCAAGGACCGGCGCGGTGGGTGGCCACGCCGCCCCTTTGGGGCTTCATTTGGCCTGTGGTGAGCTGTGATAGTTTGTTCAGCCATGGAAACTCTGTAGCTGTGTTTTTCTTGCTAGCGACCAGACTACTGCGGTTATTAGAAAGCTGAATTTCCTCTGTCTCCAGAAAAATCAGAGTGGTCGAGAAGTTACAAATTCCTCTACTTTAAAAAAAAACAAACAAAACAAACTTGTTGGGTCAAGCTAATTTGATGGTTTGTGACCTGTGGCAGCTGCACACGTCTGTTTTCTGCCATCCCCGTTAGCAGGGCAGCAACTTTTGGTGGCTGCAGCGTGATGGCTGGGGGCTGATGCTGAAGTGGGAGCGTTGGATGCTCACGGGCACACAGGGGCTTCTCATAGCTGCTGCGGTGGCAGCAGGCAGCCCTGCGGCCCCTCACCAGCCCAATGGCAGAGGAGGCGAATGAGTCTGCGCCACGGGGGCCATGGCTTGCAAAGGGACGTCAAGTGCTGGTGCAGGACTTGGAGCTGGAAGTGGCTGGCACCACAGGGCGCTGCCGAGCCCTGGCGGCGGCAGGGATGTTGTATTGGGGCAGAGCAGCACCAACAGCTCTGCCCTGGGACTGGGTGAGCTCGTGCCTGCCCTTGGCTGCCTGCCTGCCTGCCTGCTTGCCTTTGCAGCAGGGATGCCCTGCGACCGTGCAGAGATCCCACCCCAAACTCAGAGGCAGCACTGCTGGCACCTTTGGCATGCAAAGATGCTGGCCAGCTGTATATATCACTCCTGGACCCACGGGGAGCCCTGATGCTTCTAGCTCAGGTGCCTCTGCCCCACCCTCAATCGCACAGTACAGATGTGCCCCAGATAGTTGTGGAGAGGCGAGACACACGTGGTTACGATTTTGCCTGTAAAAGCTGACACGAGAGTGAAATGTTGAAGGACAAATGCGGCTTGTGCCTGGTCAGATAAATTGCAGGGCTGCAGCCAACAAGGCTACGTAAAGACAGTGCGGCAAATGGTCTTCGGCTCTGGAAACCCATACGGTCTGAGCAAAACCCCGCCGAAGCTCGTGGGAAGCTTTGCCTTTTCTTCACTAAGCTTCTGCACCAGGCCTTGCTTCATCAGGATGTTAGCAACCCATCCCGGTGTATGGATGCTCTCGAATCCATTCTGTTTTCCCCATTTGAAACAAATAACTTGAGATAATAGTAGTCTTAAAACTGTAATTTACTTTTTGTGAAGGGGGAATTATAGGCAGCGTAAAGTCTTTTTGGGAAAAAAATTACAAAAGGCTTCCGTAATGAATTTGATGGGAGAGGAAACACAGGTTGTCTTTGTGCCGCTTGTTGCTTTTTGGTGTGTGTCTGGACTTGGAAAATTCTCTGGTGAATTTGGGATTAAATCCTGCCTGGGAAGGCAGTGAAATAAGAGGAGCATGTGGTGTGTGATAGGGGTGGGGAAAAGATGGTGTTAGTTTCCAGGGCGTTTAAACACTCACGAAGACAGGGCCTACCCAGGCAGGGCGAGAGGGTTTGCCCTGGGGATGCCTCACAGGAGGGTCTGGCCCTGGGTCCCTGATGGCACCACTGCAGGAGCAGGAGCTCCTGAGCGTTGTCCTGCCCTTGCACAGCTCCCTTGGGGCTCCTGCACTCTGCCAGGGGACGAGCACCACTTCTGGGGTTTGGCGCAGTGCTGCAGGGAAGCGTTACGGCTCAGGTTATAATGCCTCTCCCAAGGGCCATGTTTCGAGGTTGGGTGGAATGGAATAGTGCTTCTTGGTGGCAGCATGCTTGCCCAGGGCATGGGGGATGCGCAGGGCATGGGGGATGCGTGGGGGGGATGCTGACCCCTTCCCTTGGAAAAGGGGCAGGAGCTGCTGCAGAGCACGGGTGTGAGAGACGGAAGCGAAGGGCACCTCTTTGTAGCTGAGGATGGAGCATGCAAATTTGCATGCGCCTTTTAACGTTGCTGTTTGCAATTTGGCCAACAAACGGCAGGCAGCAGAAGCGGCAGTGGCACATATCTTGGCTGGTGACGTGCTGGCTTGACTCTTTGGATTAACTGTGAGAGATTTTCAGATTGCTGGTTTAAATAGAGCACCTGAACAGACATTAAATTGCCCCGTGGCACTGTCGCAGCCTTTCTCTAACGTTAGCGAGAGGTGCTTTTGAAACCAAAAGTGTGTTTGTGGCACCACATGTTCCTGTATTCGGCAGTGATGGCTAATTTTTTTGTAAATTGAATAAATCATGTTAAAAAAGTTAATGAGGCATTTAATTAATTAACAATGTAGAGTTTTATGGTCTTTATGGTTACATTTTGTGGTTAATGACATTCTTCTTAAAGCCTCTTAACACAGAATTGCCCAACAAAATTAGCCTTTTCGTCCAGTAGTAGGTATTCCGCCCTAGGACGAGCCTTTCCTTTTTACAAAAATAGATGAAAGGGGTTCCTTTATTTTGAGTTGCAGAATCTATTTTAAGTGGTAACTGCATGCTAAAAGTGGAGCTGAATACAGCAGCAGCTTCTGCTACCTATATCCATCTGCTAATTTGCCTGGCAGGGTGGTCTGGTTTTGAAGGAAAATTCATACCTCCGGGGTATAATTTTCCACAGCCCTTTCTTACGGGCTTGAGCGAGTGCAGGGTAAAGAGCATCCGTTCTGGACCGATTTTTGGCCTTTGGGCTGGTTAGCAGGTTAGCAGGAACATTAAGAGCCCCTGTTCGGCGAGAGGAGGGACTGTGGGGATCCCAGGTTAAACCGGTGGGTGCATCAGGTGTAGGTGGTGGACCGCTCCGTCCCGGCGGCAGGTGAGGGGGATGCTCTGGTGCCTGGGACAGGCAGCTCATTAGCTCCCTGCTTTAGCCTGGTTAGTGAGGGCCTGCTAAAAGAGCAGCTTCATGCTGTATCCTGGATACCGGCTCTCGGGTCAGGTATACCCAGAGCACAGATTATTGCGGGCTTTCCGGTAGATTTTGAAACGGGAAGAATAAATGCATCGCACCCGGCGGTTGTTTTGTTCTCTTGCCTTTGGCAAAGCAAACACTCGCCCCCTCCACGCTGTATCCCGCTTTGCGAGGATGTCGCTCAGCCTTCGAGAGGAGCAAATGCAAAATTAATGGCTTGCCACTAATCTGGGAATGCGGGGGCTATTTTATACATGCAGCGCCACTTAGAAATGCGGGTTTTGTTTTTTTTTCTTTTGCATCTGAGACAAATCGAGGAAGACTCGCACCATCCTAAATTTTTGGTTGAGTGATGGAGCAGTCATTGTTTCAAGGCTACACGACAGCGTAGAGCTGAGTCTGGCCTAGGCTCTCGACCGTGGTATATTTGACTGCAAGATGAATTGTGTTAAATTCACATGGCTTCCCACGGCGCCAGGCTCGTTATTGGAACCTGGCGCCTGGCTTTAGTTGTGCATGCAGAAGACCAGGGTGGGTGAAAATGGGATTTCCCGGATCTTGATAGAGTCGGGCTTTTTTTTTTTTTTTTTTTTTTGCCAATAGCAAACCGTCCTTTGTGAGTCTTAAATGTGTTTTGTTTCGGGTCATGCGCTTTTTCTTTTTAAAATCAAACTGATGCTGGCTGTGCTGCTGTTGTGCTTGCAGAATTTTCTACTAAAAAATGCAGGTGTAAGAGTAAAAACCTTCCTGCTAGCTTTATGCACGGAAGTTTTGAGAAGTGGAAAGCCGTGAGTTTTGTCTGTGAAATTTGCACGTTCCCCCTCTGCGATGATTCCTGACGTTGGGGGCTGCGGGAAGGTCGCAGTGGGGCGTGGAGCGCTCGGTGCTGCTTCGCACAAACTGGTCCGCTCGTGGGAAGTCGTGGTCTCTGCTATGTCTCCAGAAGAAGCAGGCCTTCCAACGGCTTCCCCTTGTGTTTTGCGCCCCCCCCACCCCACCCCCAAGAGAAACCTGTGCATCTCCGCAGCAAGAAATAACGTGATGTATCTGTTTCTCCTTCCATTTCCAGGAAGTGGTTCTGTATTGTTTGGAAAACAAGGTGTGTGATGTGAATCATCGTGACAACGCGGGTTACTGTGCCCTGCACGAGGCCTGTGCCAGAGGCTGGCTGAGCATTGTGCGGCATCTCCTCGAGTACGGGGCTGACGTCAACTGCAGCGCTCAGGATGGAACCAGGTTAGCAGCATCCCCGGCCCAGCGTCGGGGTGGTCACCACCACCGGGCAGTAGTTTCTTTGGTCACGATGGTGGGAGAAAGCACCCCTTCCCGCTCTATTTCTTTATCCTCCCCTTGTCCCCCTTCCCATCCTGCATGAAACCCCCAAAGCGGGTGATGCGCCGCGGCCTCCTTGTCGCTGGTCCTTGGGCAGGAGCGTGCAGGTCTCGGTGACCTCCTCCGCTCTCCAGTTAATAAAGCGGTGGGGGCACACTTTTCTTGTGCCTCGAGTTCAGCGTATTTTTTTTCTCTGGGAATTTTAGTACGTTTGTTTCGTTTTTTGAAGAGTTTGTGAAATTCCCAGCTGCAGGGCAAGAAGGAATGATACTTGAGCTGCGGCCCTGCTCGTGTGCGCACCAGGTCCTTTGACTTGTGCCAAAAGAGTGGGCTTTGCCTTGGTAGCAGGGTTACTTCTAAGAGCACTTCAGGCTTTTGCGGCGATTGGGTGTGCGAGTCCTATATGTGCTATATAAAAATGTTGTTTTGCTGAACTGTTAAACTCTATCTGCTCATTTGATATTTTGGATATTTTTTTTTTTTAATCCCGAATTAGGCTTTTTTTGTTTCCTTTGCAGAATAGTAGGGGTGCTTAGTTCTTGTGCTCGCAGAATAGATAGTGAGCTTTTCCTTTTTTTTTTTGCTTCGTGGTTAGAGAAATGCTGCTTCACATTTTTTTAAGCTTCTTGTGCATCTCCTAATGTACCTCTTTGACCACCTCTGCAGGGCTGACCTTGGGGTAACTTTTCCTCAGCATATGCAGAACGTTATCCAGTCTATGCATTTTGTGGACAGGTCGCTTTGTATTCCGTGAAGCTCCTGCAGCTTGTTATCTTAAATGGTTTATCACATTCGCTATCACCATCCAAATAGCCAAGGAGGTAAAATTAGCACAACTAAGAGTCTGGCTCTTTTGTTTTTAAGCCCTTTATTTATTAACTCGGGAAGGGAGGAGTCAGGAAAACAAAAGTCCCGAGACGGCTGGCTAGGATGGTCCATTAGAAGTTCATGATGGTCAGTCGTTACCGGCCCATCACGGCCGAAAGGAGACATTTCTGAAGAAACATTGAAACTCTGGCTGGATCATCAGGTTCCTTTCCCATCTCCCACTTCTTTCTAAGAAGTCCCGGCTGTCTAGGCTGACAAACAGCCCTGCATTTTCTGCTGTCTCCAGCTTTAATATGTGACCTATGCAACAGCGGCGAGTTGCCATAAAAAGAATCCTAAATTATTTTTGTCTCACTTGCTGGAATAACCTATATAGAAAATTAACCCCGGGAAGTTTCTGACCAGTCTTAATCACCCGCCAGTTCAGAGTCCACCTTCGATTTCGATTCCCAGATGGAGCTAATTTTCAAGAAAGAAACTTGGCTTGTGTACCCTGAAAAGTTGTTTTGGGGAAAATGCATTTTAGAAATGAACATAATAATGATCTGATCATAGATGGTAATGTCAGAACTCAGCTTGCGGTCCCCTTTCTTTTCTGATGGCAGACTTATTTTTTGGTTGAGAAGCTGCCCAACAGACAGTGTGAAGCCAAAACACATCTAATATACAGATGAATGATGGTCTCGCTGCCCCGAGTTGGGTAGGACGGAGAGCAGAAGCTTCTGTAAGGAACTTCTGATCTGTGTTAGCCCCTGCCTTTTGGTAGAGCCAGACTTCTCTGTCTCTGTAGAGTAAATCATGACATTCGTAAGACAAATCCCATTTCCTCTCTTGAAGCCTCAGTAAGTTTTTCTCCTTCAACTTTTAGGAGCAAAGAAGTGTCAGTCTTCCTCAACTGTGTTGCTTTTTAAATTCAAATTCCTGAATTTGAACACGTCCCCGTTCCCAAGGTTTTAATATCTTGGGAAGATATTAAAATCTTAAAACAAAAAACCACCAAACAAACACATGATCAAAGACTTCTCCGCCTCCTCTGCTTTTTTAACTACACTGCCTTATTGCCCCCTCCACCACCTCACAAGCCCACTAGCCAAAGACATTTTTGGTCGTGCTGGCAGCTCTCAACTCTCCAGACAGTATCAGTGGATGTGTTTAGTTCTGCTCAGCCAGTTAACGTAAATCCGCATAGAGGAGCGATGCAACTGCACGAGCTGTGGTGTAACTGCGTACGCTGCATTTGTTAGTGTGGCAGCCTGGGGTGTCACCTGAGCCCCAGCTGCCTGAAGCTTTGGTCTGCGTTACTTGCTGCCTGCCGCCTCTGTGGTCAGCTTTTTGGAGGACACTCTCGAAAAGTTGTGACAAGTGAGGATATGGCTTCAGTCTGAACAAAATGTCCGTATGAACGTGAGGGATGTAGGAAAGTTCTGCAAAGTCTGTGCATCTCTCCTTTCAGCCCTGTGTGAAGTGCTGCAGGTGCTCTGAGCACTGTGGTGGTTTTGCATGCGTTTTGTTTAAGTTTTGAAAGTGAAGGAAAGACCTGAGCCCCTTTCTTTGGTGTTGCCTTTTATGTCCCTACGCAGCCAGTCTGTCGTGAGTCCAGTAGAGGAGGCGGGCTTTCAGCCTCTGGTTTCCGATACTGTCAGAAATCTTGGTGAAGCCAAAAGCAAACGAAGCGCCAGACTGTAGCGGCAGGGGGAGGCGGGGGGGGCGCTGTGGGGACAGTATCAGTGGATGTGTTTAGTTCTGCTCAGCCAGTTAACGTAAATCCGCATAGAGGAGCGATGCAACTGCACGAGCTGTGGTGTAACTGCGTACGCTGCATTTGTTAGTGTGGCAGCCTGGGGTGTCACCTGAGCCCCAGCTGCCTGAAGCTTTGGTCTGCGTTACTTGCTGCCTGCCGCCTCTGTGGTCAGCTTTTTGGAGGACGCTCTCGAAAAGTTGTGACAAGTGAGGATATGGCTTCAGTCTGAACAAAATGTCCGTATGAACGTGAGGGATGTAGGAAAGTTCTGCAAAGTCTGTGCATCTCTCCTTTCAGCCCTGTGTGAAGTGCTGCAGGTGCTCTGAGCACTGTGGTGGTTTTGCATGCGTTTTGTTTAAGTTTTGAAAGTGAAGAAAAGACCTGAGCCCCTTTCTTTGGTGTTGCCTTTTATGTCCCTACGCAGCCAGTCTGTCGTGAGTCCAGTAGAGGAGGCGGGCTTTCAGCCTCTGGTTTCCGATACTGTCAGAAATCTTGGTGAAGCCAAAAGCAAACGAAGCGCCAGACTGTAGCGGCAGGGCAAGGCGGTGGCGGCGTTTGGGGGGGGGAGCAGGTAGGGTGCAGCCCTTCCCTTCACCCTGGGCTCAGCGCTGAGGTGGGGCCCCTACCGCTGCCTGCAGCGCACCGCGTCCCTCTGTCTGCCCTAGTCACGGCGCATCTGACGAGGCTAAATACAGCGGGTCTTCCGCGGTTTTTTCCCTTAGACTCTGTGCTGATCGTGGCTCTCCAAATGCAGCACCTGCAGACCCTGAATACACAGGCACTCTGCTGCTGAATTAGTAGCTAATCAAAGATTATTGTAGAGCGGGGCGAGATCTTTAGGACCTGTCTCAGAGGTGCCACAGTCACTAAGGGCTCTTAATCGTCTTACCTATAAATAATAATAGACGGTGCTTAAGAGGTGAGTGCTCTCCTTCCCTGACAGGACGCCAGTAAGTGCAGTGGCTCAACGAGGGGCGAACGATGACCGGTGCCTGACAGTAGCAAGGGTGGTTGCCGGTGTATTTGGCCTAATCTCCTTGTTCTTCTCCTCTTACCTCCACAGCATGCCCTAGCTGAAACGGCGCCGCTTTAAAAACAAAGCCACATGCCAAAAATACAGGCATCTCCTGCCTGTTAGCGAGGCCTCCCCGTTGCTTCAGAGTCCGCTCGCTAGATTCACTCTCTGCAGCCAGTTTTGCTTTATCCTTCTCGCTGGCGGCTGATGAGCTCAGCCTTTTTTATTTTTTCCCTGGGAGGACCATGCCAAGATGGCTCTCTTCCTGCGTCCTTTCAGCTGGTCTTGGCAGAGCGATACCCTCCAGCAGCTAATTGCGTTAAAGAAGAGGCAGCCGACGTAGCTGCCCTCCCGCAACTTGTGCCTTGCCTCTTCCGTGGGGCAGCGTTGCATAATAGAGTAGATGGAAATAAAAATAAACCGCCAAGATATGGTATTGCTCGGCGAGTTACGAGACCTCTTATTGCAGCGAGGAAAATTCTGATGGTGCCTGAAAGGCTGAGAGCAAACCCTGACTGGTTTAAATAGTTTATGATTTTGGTGGTGGAATGATAAACCCCCAGTGAAATGTTTTCCTAACTCTAGTAGCAGTAAAAATAGTAGGAAGAATTCGACAGTACACAAGAGAGGGTTGAGATGTGTGTCTCCTGTAGGATATTGCGGCTCTCAAATGTCCCCAGATCCTTCTGGGGCCTTTCGAAGGGTTTGTTTTAGAAACGAGCTGTACTACCGTTAACTGTACCATTAGGGATAGAGAGTGTTTATTTCCACAATGCTCAGGGCGGAAAAGATTATATGGGCAAAGCAGCCCAGGAGAGGACTCCCAGGGATCTTTTTTTCACATCTGAAAAAGTTGCCGGCTCCGTAGTCACTTTTGCATCCTACAGAGAGGATGGTTAAACTCTGCCAAGACTGAAAAATATTCCCTCCTCTGCGGGTCCTGGTGGGAGAAGCAAGCACGAGTAGCTGTGCCTTTGCATGGTCCCGCTCATGAGCTTGCCAAGAAGCTGTGCTAGCCAGTAAAAGAGTCTGTCAGCGCTCTGTTACTGTCTTTTTTCCCCTGCCTTATCTGTGGGGAATCTCCTTTTTTTTTTTTTTTTCCCCTTCCCTGCCAGTGTTTTCTTTCCTCCCTTCGCTTCCTTCTGTTTATTGTTCTTCCTCCTTCCGCGTGGCTTTACTTGCGCCTTTCCTTCCCCTTGCCTCTGTGAAGTCCCCTCTCGTGCCGGGGGTGGCCTGCCTGTCCTCCGGCAGGCAACAAAGATGGGTCTGCCTGCCCCACTGCTTGCCCTGCTGCCGGCTCCGCTGCCTGCCCCGCTGCTTCTGCCCCTGTCTGCACTGCTGTGCCGGGCTGGGTGACCTGTAGAAAGGGAGAGGGGGTCCCATCCCAGGGTTACAGCCCATGCGCTGCGATTTTTCCTTCCTGGGGAATGCCCAGGCGCCCTTTAATAAACTCGTCCGGGTGTCGTTAAATCGATTGAAACACTGGGCAGTGATTTAGATGCTGTTTTTAATAAGTTAAGGGATCATCTTGAATTCATTACTGCTTCAAAAGCCACTTAGGTAAGTCAGTTTAAAAAAAAACAAACAAGAAAACCCACAAACCAATAAACCCACAACACTGTCCCCCCATCCCATCCCCCCCAACCAGAAAACCCTAATTCTAAAATACAATGGAAAACAGTTCAAAATTAAAGACTCCAGTGAAGTGAGGGAATGGGGGAGAAAAAGCGTCCCTAGCATTTGGCGGCAGCCGTAACTCATCTGTTCTGGTGCCTGTTGCCAGACTTTCCGCCAGGGATGCTTCATGCCCAGTGGGGGACAGGAGGGTTTGCAGCAAGGCTGATCTTTCCCGCTATAGATGCTCGGAATGTCGTGACCCGACAGCTCAGGCCTCAGATGCTTGCTGATAGCCAGAAACATGCGATACTTCTTCAGCCTCCATGTCAGCACCCCTATTATTTGTTACCTCTAGTGTTGTATCGCCTGGGATATTTAGGACAGGCCAGGTCCTGGATGCGCTGGGTGCTGCGTAGGCATGCGATGCTGCGGCAGTCCCTGTGCGGAAACACTGCGTCAGTAGGTGGAGGTGGGAGGGTGAAGCTTGCGGGGGACCCCAGGAATGCTGGCTTCTCCAGTGCCGTCTGTCTCAAGGGCGTCAGATAGTTTCAGTGTTATGTTAGAGACTTCCCTGAGAAATTGCGAAAGGGTTATTCTGATCCTTTGCAAGTGATCCTTACGGACCTCTCTGGTCTTTAAATTTGAAAGTGGCTTTCCAAAGAGCAGCACGTCTGGCTTTGAAGGTGTGCACGTGTTGTGCTCTCTGGTGCCGGAGGTCTGAGGGGTGGCACGGGCTGGGTTGAGGAGCGTGCTCAGTAGCTCAAGGATCACCTGCTTGTTTGCCGTGTTGGTGGCCTGGGGCGTGCAGGAGGCAGGCAGTGTGGGATAAGCCCTCTCTCTATAGGGAATGAGCTGCAAACTCTCCAAGAGCACCTCTTCATGTCAATATAGTGTGCATATGCCAAAACCAAAACCGCACACAGCTTTCCAGCAAGATGGGGGCAAATGAGAGTGCCTCACATGTGACAGATGTTAATCACCCTAAGTCACAGCCTACTGGAAAGTACTTGGAGTAAACACACCTGGAACATACTTCTTTTTGAGATGGATCAGAGCCCCCCTCCCACAAGCAGCGCTATGTAATAGGTGGGAAAATGGTGGTGTGCCCTCCTCTTCTAACTGTTTTGCTCTGCCTCTGCTCTGTCCCGAGCTCATGCGGACGCCAGCCCGTACCAAAGTGGTGGTGACATAGAGGGGACATTGCCACGTGTGGCAGAAGGAGTGGTGGGACGTGGCCTCTTTGCAGGAGGGAGTTTCAGCCCTGGTTGTTAGCCGAGCGTTGCTTGGCAGATTGGTAGACGAAGTTGGGGGGTTTGCTTGTCTGTGCTTCCAGGTGACTTTTTGTAACATCATTCTGAAAGCTTTCCGGGAAGGCAGTATGTGATCCTAGTTGAAGTCCTTCCTTATTTCTCTTGCCTTTTAATACATCTGTTTGAGAGCTTGAAAGCCTTGTTGGGGGACAGCGGTGTTGACAGCCTAAAGGAGGAGGAGTGTAGAGTTGAGTTGAACTGCCGTGATCAGTGGCTATTGCATTTGTCTCCCCTTTCAGTTCCCTGCTCATCCCATCTAAGGAAAAGATGGGATTTTAACACATCTTCATTAGTCTGAAGGGTAATATGTTCTACTTCCAGACAACTCCCCGTTACGTATAATCAATTTTAAAGGCAAAAGTTAATGCGATTTATAATTAGCGATAAGGAATTCTAAACCTGGAATTGCAGGCATGTGTATTAATGAATAATCCTTCTGTAGGCTCACGAAATCTGGGTCTGAGCTTGTATAGATTGCTCATGCCGCATAAAATGCGTTGACTTCTGGGTGGACTAAACTTAAAACAATGTTTTTCTATTCTCCGAGTAGAAGGGTTGAATTGTGCTGCAAATATATTTGCAAGTACTGTTTAAAGAGGATATAGCATGGAAGTTTAATTCCCAGCAAATTTTCATAACTTATTTCTGTGTACATAATTTAGGAGCTTTGGGTAACCGATTTCCGCGCTTGCCCAGAGGCAGGCTGAATGAGCCCTTACTCCACAACACGCTGTTAAATTGGCAGAGATTTGGAACGGTAGAGTGACTTCCAGCAAAATGATGTTTGTGAGGCTTCATGCAAACTCCTGCTTTCTGTTACAGCGGTGTAATTATTTTGCTGGCCCTAGAAATATATATGGCAATGAATGGACGTAGTAGAAATATCTGCCCCGAGCAGTCTGACTGTGAAAAGACAAGAGGGGAAGGGATGATGCGCAAGTAAAACCGACAATGAGATGATTGGCAGCTGTATTAATAGTGTTATCTTCTATAAATAACTTTGATCTGAAGTCAGAAGTTTCTTGTCAAACACATTTGCATAATACTATTGAGTCAAAATGTCACGTCGTGATCTTTTTTATTTCCCTAGACCAATCCATGATGCGGTCGAAAACGATCACTTGGAAATTGTCCGCCTGTTGCTGTCTTATGGTGCTGATCCAACGCTTGCGACGTACTCTGGGAGGACCATCGTGAAAATGACCCACAGTGAACTGATGGAGACCTTCCTCACAGGTGCATGGCCACATTGCACGGGGCTCTGCTGGTCGTGGCAAATGGGGGGACGTTCCCTGGCCCCCCAAGGTCCCTGCCGCCCAGCGGGGATGGCTCCACGCTGAGGAGGAGCGTTAGGGTAGGCTGCAGTAGCTCCCTCTCTGCCTGCAAAACCCCCGCCGCTGCAGGTGGGAAGCGTAGCCATGCATGGGGGCTCCTTCTAACTGAAACTCTTAATAAGTCATAAGGTTTATACCACTATCAGATTTGATAGGTAGGAGGTCAGCGGGCTGTTTCGGTGCCTTCTTTTTTCTGCTTGAAATGAAAATAAGAAACTTGCCAAATCGAATAGCTGTTTGTTAAACATGATCATGTTTTCCCGTGGTCTTGCTTTTTATCCTTCTAGTACTTGTCTTTCTGCAAATTCTGCCTCCTTTTATATCTGAAATGCTGTAAAACTGTATTAAATGCTCTTGTCTTTAAATATGTCCGTGTTCTAACATGGTTTTAGGTTTTTTTCCTGTTAGTTTTGGATAAAGACACTTGCATTCCCTAATAACTTTACCTCTGAAAATGTTTGCAGTGTTCAGAGTCAATGAGTTTAAGTACTCATCCACTTACCTCTTCAAATGGTGCAGTGTAGAAAGCGCATAGGTGTATCAGGACTCCAGTGAAGTCCAGTATCTTGGAATTCTAGCATCTTGAATCCCAATACCTTTTCATCAGCTCAACTAGCAAATCTCCCAAATTATGTCTGTAGAAAAGAATTACATCTTCTGTGTGGAAAAACCTTTTCCATCCATTTCTTTGGGGCCACTGTTTCAGCCCCAAGTTGGTGTCCAGAATAACCATGCAGGCTAAAAAGTGTGCTACATCCTATCTTTCACAAAAATAAAACGCCGCGCTCAGTTACTGAAGCTTAAGGTTGGGTCTGTCCCTCTTAGACCATGAGTGATTATTTGATGTGATGGGAGAAGGGATGCAGGAGAAAAGCAAATTCCAGGAATATTTGCGAGAATGATGTGTGTATACGCTGTTCTTTGTAACGTGTGCATCAGGAATAGGGTGTGGGTTTTATTTGATGGAAGGTATGGAGGATGCATAGTGAGACTGTATGACACACTGTCTGCTAAACTTGCCAGCTTTTTGTTCTCATCAGTATGTTTTTGTTGTTGTTTTTTCCTCTCCAGAGTATTTAACTGACCTGCAAGGTCGAAGTGTTGATGACCCTGGTTTGTACTGGGATTTCTACGGCAGCTCTGTGTGCGGTGAGCAAATGTTACCCTTTATTTCTTTGTATGCGAAGACTTTCAAAACATGTGGCACATGGGGGTGGGGGCTGTTTTGTTTTTGTGGTGGAGGAAGCTAGGAAGGAAGCAAACTAATTTTACTTACAGATCACGTTATTGGAAGAAAAAGCAAGACCTGCAACAGTATCTTCGATGCTGACTTGGCACCTTTATTCAATTTTATTTAGATCCAAAGGATGAATCTGGATTTGACATCTTGGCAAATCCGCCCGGCCCAGGTGATGAAGATGAAGATAGCTTTAGTGATGTGTTTGAATTTGAATTTTCAGATGAGCCTCCCTTGCCGTGTTACAACATTCAAGTGTGTCTCTCTCAGGGGTAAGAACAAATACAGGTTTTGGGGTAAAAATAGCTGAGACGATCTGCTTGGGATGACGGCCGTTTGTGGCCGTGGGGAAAAGCGTTTGCATTTATCTAACGTAAATGAGAGAGCAACACCGTAACTGCCGGGCTTTTTAGAAATAAGCTAATAGGAGGTGAGAGAGGGAGAGGCTGACTTGTCGGGGCTGTGTTTTGAGTGCCATACTCCCGAGCAGGACGAGTGATGTTTGAACACAGATTCCTTCCCTCATCCCAGGCAGGCACCTTGGTATAACATCCCAAAACACAAGTGCTTCTAGCACTTCAATTTGGATGTCGTGTTTGTAAATAGTTTCACTTAACGGGCTGTTCTGTTTTGCTGAATGGACACGCTTTTGTGGATGACGAAATGACATCGTTACTGCTGTTCTAGACTTTGCAGAAAAACTGGTTTAAAGCTCTGAATTGGATCAAACAAATAAGCATCTTACAGAAGAAGCTATGGTACTTAATAATAAGCAAAGACCTGGAAAGTTTTGTTCTCTATTATATTCAAGATAGAAATTAGCTTCGTAAACAGCTACCGTTTGTCATTTGCACCAATTTTGCTGACAGTCGTGGGAAAAACAGTTTTAAAGATTAACCATGCAGGAGTGCGGGTTTTAGCATGTTTTTATTATTTGGGTGATGGATATAACTTAAGTTCTCTGAAGGGGACAAATACAAAGACTGAATTAAGAAGTTGTATTCTTGATCTGAGAAAAACAACTGTCAGCTCTGCTGACTTACATTTAATGTGGGCATCTCTGGAAGTCAGAGGTGCTGAAATTTCTGGTTATAACTATAAGCCGTCTCCCAGCTTGCTAAATGAGAGTTGGGCTCAGCCGGGCGAACCTCCAACCGTGTGAGCAGCCGTCGGGATGGCTGCTGACCCATGCGCGCACACGAGTCCTGGGTTTATAGGCTCCGGTGCCCCTGCATGCCTGGTCCCCCTCCTTCCCCAAAGCTGCGGGCAGCAGTAGCATGAGTAAACGTGTACGCGCCTGCACACCTGTTGCATTCGGCCCCCTGGGCGATGGCCTTGATTTCAGGGGGGTTGTTTGTGCGGGAGGGTTTGTCACACGGCGGTATGGTGAAGAGTCAAGAATCCCGTGACTTAATGTCAGTTATTGGAGCCTGTTTCTCCTTCGCTTCCACAGACCACGAAACTGGCTTTTGCTCTCGGACGTGGTGAAGAGGCTAAAAATGTCATCTCGCATCTTCCGCTGCAACTTCCCCAGTCTGGAAGTTGTCACCATCACGGAGGCAGAGTTTTACAAACAGACTTCCCTCAGCCAGTTGTTCTCTTGCGCTACGGACCTTGAAGCTTTTAACCCGGAGAGCAAAGAGCTGTTGGACTTGGTAGAGTTTACAAGCGAACTCAAGACTTTGCTCGGCTCCTCGCTTGACTGGTTGCATCCGCACGAGGACCCTCCCTTCGACATCCTCTGGTGAACCATCAGGCCATTTAATGTACAGTGCTCTATACAGTTACTTCTTTATGTATATGTGTTCAAATGCAATTGTTTCTGTAAAGAAAGGACACTATTAAATATGAAAATATCTTTCCTTTATATAAGAGATCTGAATTCCAGTTGGATGGATTTTGGAAGAATTTTTTTTTAACTTCAATCAGTTTTTACAAAATTGTTATATAATGTTTCTTTAAATGCACACAGGCTTTGGGATAAGTTTGTTATTACTCGGAACACATTTTTTTTTTTTTTTAAAGAACACACCCACACATTGACTTTGTTTCATACAAAGCACTGATGACACAGAACATACTTTTTCTAGGTGATGTGATCAAAGTCGTGTGGCTTGTTTGGGAGATAGAATTCAGTAAGGCACTTGGTGATATTATTTTTGTTTTTTTGTTTACAGAGTTACCTGCTTTGGCCAGGTAAGCACTATTGAATATAATTCAATAGTTTGTAATATAAATTAAACCATATCCATACGCATCAACTAATTGTAAGAACTTTTATATCCTAATTTAAAAGCTGTGAAATTTAGTTTTCACACATCAAACCGGATTGTTTATATATGTTTAAACATTTTATGCTCTTTATTTAAAGAAGACTTTGAACTATTTTTTCTGTACCTTGTAAAATATTGAAAAACTAACATATGTTGAAGTTGCTTGAAACTGTACATAAACTAAATTTTCTGAATTGTGTGTTTATGTTTGAGATCTGTGTTTTAACTTTGTAAGTAAATCTCCTGCCTTTGTATTTATATTTTACAAAAATTTTCTTAAAGGCAATAAAACTGTTGAGAAATGAAGAGGCTAAAGTGACTCCCATTAATTCCGTGCCTGGCTGCGAAATGAGCTCCGACTCATTAATGTTTATGAAAGGAGGCTCCGCGAGCGGTTCCCGAAGCGGAGCAGAGCTGGCATAGGTGCTGGCGAGCAGCTGATGAAATCTGAGGTAGAATCTGCAGTGGCTTTCTAAATTCAAGGTTATAAGAAAACATCGCGCGCCTTTTGTGGGACAGAGGTTTAAAAGCGGTATTCACAATACTTTCTGCATTGCCTTTTAGTTTAACAATTGTGAATAGGTTCCATTATTTTCCCTCCTTTGTCATCGTTTTAAGTTGAATTGCCTGAATTCTCTTTTCAGTGGTGTCTGCAGAGGGGAGGAAAATAGTACCCGGGTAAGTGCTTTAGTTTTAATGCAGAGCATTAAGGCTATGAGCACCCTTTGGGGGGATCTGAAGGGACAGTGAACAGAATGTTACTTTTACACAGCTTGGGAACTTGATTCTTAAGAGGCTGGGCTCCCAGGGCTTGGGCAGGCCCTCTCTTAGGGGTCTGGATCTGCCTTTCCCCCGTGGAAAGAAGTTCCCGCTGTGAATGAGTTTTGCTTTGGGGCTGTTTTTAACAGTAGTATGTCCTGTGATAGCCAGAGGCTTCAGCTGAGATGTTTAAATCGCACTGCTCTTCTGCTCTTCTGATGAGGGCCAGGACACCCACCAAAAGGGTCTCGAGCAGAGCACCTGGTCCATCTGAGAAAAGCATCTGGGACAAAGTTTCTCTGTCTGGAGCAGCGAGGCTCAGAGGTTTTGATTACTGGACAGTGTACTGCAGGTTAAAGCTTGTGCTCTTGGGGGAGCGTGAGAAAGGGTGTGAATTACCCTTGTCCTGAAGGTAAGGGAGAATGATGCCTCATTCCTGAAGGTGCCCCAGAGGGAAAGACGCAGAGCTGATGCCTCTTGTGGTGGGTTGCCATCGAGTCTTCTGCCAAATGTTTGTACTGTGTGGCTTACAGTGGGACTGCTTCTGGGGGTAAGGTGGTTTTGTAGCTGAGCCGAGAGGCGAGAGAGGGGTCTGACAGCTGTCTGCTGCTGGCAGCTGAAGTCCCATTCCACACAGGACAGGGAATTTTTAGTCCTAATACAACCACCGACATCTTCCTCCAGCCTTTGGATAAGGATGATGATGGGTCTCTCCTCTACGGCTTATACGCCCACCCTGGGTTTCTTTTTAAGCCAGCCTCCAGCTTTGCAAGGAACTGAAACACAGACATCCCGGCTCTCCAGCGCTGGCTGCTTTTACCCCCTGATTTTCCCGGAAAGCAGAGGTGGGCCAGAAAAACGAAGGCAAGGGAGAACGTTAAAAGCAATTGCTGCAGACACGTTTATCTGATCGGCTGCGTAATGCTTGGATGGTTTGAGCTGAGCATAAATCAGCTTTGTACCACTTCCAGGGGTGCATGGCAGACACCTCACTTCTTGCTGTGCCCCGCAGGCAAACAGAAGATTTACGCAGCTTCCTCTTTTGGCCAGCTCCTCCTCAAATGATCTTGAGCACGTGCTCCCCAAACGTCTCCGCTTAGTCAGCTTTCCACTATCTCCACCGAGTACAGTTGGGCCTTCTCCATGCTGGCGCTTGCATCCGTGCTCAAATACAGTAACAGTCTCATGCTGTTGTAATGCAAGTGTGTGCCTGCCCTGGGGCTTGTCTGCACTCTGAAAATAGGGCCGTGGCGGGGAACACCTGATCGCAGTGCTGTCCCTTGACATAATGCAACCGTTTTATCTTCTCTAGGATGTACTTTTTTTAAAGAGACTTTGCTGTGCGAGGGTGCTTGAGAGAGCACGGAGGGTGCTGGGCACACGAGGCTGGCTTGGCTGACCCTATTCTGGGCAGTTTGGGAGAGACTGACACGGGAGAGGCTGGCTGCAAGCATAGTTTTGCAGTAGGCAAGCCCAGGGGGCAGTTGCTTCGGGGAGAGGAGAGATGGCAGCGTGCCGGCAGGGAGTGAACTCGGTGACAGTGAGTGTAGGCAGGGGAGTCAAAACGCTGGCCGCCTTGCCAGCATCGTGACTGGCTGGCTCCTGCACGGCGCAGGGCTGGGGACTGAGCTAGTCCCAACCAGCAGGGCAGGGCAGGGCAGGGCTGGGAGGGGGCTGACGTTCAGCATTTCAGCTTCTGGACTCGCACTGCTCTAAAGCACTTCCCTGTGCATCCTCCGTGGGCCAAAGATTCTTGCTTCACACTGCTGGCATTGCTCCAGGTTAATAAAAAATAAGGAAACAGAAACGCAGCCTTTGGGGATGGTAAAACCCTGCTGATCCCCTGTCCTGCCTTCTGCAAGGTGAAAGTGCAGTGTTGATGCTGTTGGGGCCCAAGCCAAGGTGTTTCCTTGAGTTTCCCCTGCTTATCACTTGGATTTGCCTGGCTGGAAGTGTTAGAGAACCGCTGGTGCAATAGGGAAAAAACCCATCTCCAGCTAGAGCAGGCAGGTGAGCCTCACTGAGGAGAGTTTCCTTTGTCAAACTTTACTTGGTGCTGGCTGGGAAATCCCGGGAAACACCCGGCTCCAGGCTAGCTGCCTGGCGAGGGCTGGGGGGAAGCCACAGCACGAGATAAACAATGCTGCTGAGGACCGCAAAATACTGAACTCCTCCTTTGTCTTCTTGCCTTACCCAAGAGGGCTGGGTTCTGCGTAATGGGGTCAGCCCTGGGAGTTTCCCATTTGGGTTATTTCTCCCTCCAGACACTGTTGGTTCTTCTGCTTTGCTGTTGCCCCCCCTTTTTGCTCTGGTGGCCTAGCCGGAGACTTGCGCCAAAGACACCGACGTGGTGAGTGGTAAGTAAGGGCCAGAGGCATTTGGTCCTTGTTGGTGCTCTTTGGGGAGCAATCTGCTAAAGGGAGAGCCCAGATGCCCCCTGGAAGCCCGGGTTCTAGTTTATAGGATCACAGGAGCAGAATGGAAATTGTCTAAAAACTTCTCCCAGGGGCCAAGCTCACTCCACGAATCAAAGAGTTTGAAGCTGACTCCTCCCTTCATTTCTGTGCTAAATAACGAAACTATAGACGAGACCTATCATTTGTACATTAATATGAACAAAGTGTCAGGGAGTGGTAAGTGCAGGCAGCTGCCATTCCCAGGCTCTGCGGGACTGCTGGTAAACGTTCAGCATCATTTCTTCAGTTCGTACAGGAAAAAGGCACACATTGCTACTTTAAACTTGTACAGGTGCAAGCTAACTGAAAAAACACTATCATACCTGTTTAAAATTGTTTGCAGAACATCTTATTTTCATTTCAGCATGGGTCCAGTTTTGGTAGGAGAGGGCTTGGCGCCACTGCACAAGACAGAAGAGTTGAATGCCACAGTCACGAAGACATATATTAGGTCTTTTCTCACATGTTCTTATTCACCATTGCATTTCTGCTAGGAGGAGGGGCAGGAGACGAAAGTGACTGGAATCCAACAAGTTTCACTTTGTGAGCTTGTAGTGCTGTCAGGGGAAAAAGTCCCCAAACAGATCTGAAGAAGATGAAGTTCTCTTTAAGTACTGCGTCTAGATAGCCACACGCTTTCCCCACCTACGTAGTCTTGCTAGTTCTGCCTTTCACCCGTTAGTGTGCTTTGCACCGGTTCACCGTGATTGCGGAGTGAAGAGATGGTATTTTCCTGCAAGTTAAGCGTGATGAATCATTAGCAGCAACTCTGCCTTCTACCCTTGAGCTTGGGGGTGAAGGCAGCGTGTTGCTTATTTCTGGTTTGCCAGCCCCGAAGCAAACCTTGTTCACAGCATGTGCACATTTTGCTCCAGCAGACCGACGTGAATGTAGATGGTTGCTCTTCTTGAGCCAGGTATGAACCACAATTCTGCCACTAAATAGGTTTTGCTTTTGTTGTCACATTAATTTGCAACTCATTAATAGTGACAGCAGTGAGGTACTGCACTGATGCAGATTTGCATATTCATGACCAACTTCTTATTAAACAAATAAGATTTCCCTAGCTTAGGAAGCACCCAGGGTAATGCCACATTGTGCATTATATCAGCCTGGATGTTTTATTTTCTCTTTAATATGTTAATAGATGCAAGGGGTGCTCTTTTTTTAAGTAAATGTTCATCTATAAAATAACATGTAATTTAAAAGATCAGAATCGTTTAAATAGTAATCCACTAACAAACCTGCCAATAATTGAGCAGGAATACTTGTTTAATGTACAAATCAATGAATCAATTCTAACTCCTTGCTTTGTCGCCTGATGACCGTAACGCAGGCAGTACCAGCAAAGCACAACCGAGTCGCTGTACCAGCGAGGTGAGTGAGGGGCAGGCAGCTGATCCCGTGATTTATGGTTCGTTGCAGTCAAATTGTTTGGTTTTCATAGTGCTTTTGTTTCTTTCCCCCCAGAGGAGTGGTGGGAGAAAAAGTGAAGACACTGCCCGGCGTGGTACCCGCTGCTGCCCTCTCGTCTTACGCGCACCTCTCCGGCATGGCTGGGGAAATGTGGCCATGGTGGCTTGGCCGGGAT